TGTCAAAGGAACAGTGAGAAGCAAGAACTGAAATACGCGGTCAGTTTCAAAATGCCAACTTTGGTAACAGTATGTCTAGATGGCTGCTCCTCTTGCTTTCACCTTCTGCTGACCCTCTGACGCAAGTGAGCAGCAGGAGGCAAAGAACTGAAGGAGCATTGCCAGCAAGGCAGAAGCTGAAAAGTACAAATAACCAGATGTCCATATCACACCGTCTCATAGATGTCATGTGATTAGATTAGTCCCGCTATTCTTAGATAACCTTTGTACACAGTAAAGCAAAACATCAGCAAAAATCTCTGCTCCAACTGACTGGACAGAAATTAACATAGTAAGTGCTGCAGCTGGAGTAAGTACAGTACTTGCTAAAGATGACCAGATAAGAGACCGCACATACACTAAACACTGTTTAAACTAGATATTTATCCTTGTTCATCAGCGAGGATTCTTTTTACTCAATGTGATCAACACATTTTAAAAGGATGAGGAGAGTGTAGAGATAAGAGTAAAAGCTGCTCTTCGTCCTAGCTAATAAGCCTGTTCTCTGCTTAACAATACACAAAACAGAAAACCACCCTTTCACTCACAGATCCAATGACTGAATTTACCCTACATTCAATTCTCCTAGAAACAAATGTATATAGATAGCAAGGAAAGTCGTATGTCACCAGAACATTAACAGTTTCAGGAATCTGCTGAAAGCCTATACACACAGATTTTGTTTTAGTTTTCAGTTGAAAAGCTACATACCCTGGTAATTTTGCTTTGCATCTTAGCAAAGTACTTTTTCTGAGTCCTTGACAGCAGCTCTTGTCCACCTGCTATGGCCAATATGATGGCATCAGCCATGCGATTATCATGTAAGCAGAGATCAACCGCACTTTCGAAGTTACCAGTCAGCAAAGCCTGGGTAATCAAACCATCAACATCTGCAACAGGAGGAATAATTTAGTTTTAAAAATTTCACTGCTTCAAAATAAAATAAGCATTAAACATACAGTTATATAGGTGAGTCAAGTAGCAGCTTCTCTCTCACTGTGTGATGCTGGGCTGTTTTCTTCTTAAAGACCTTGATTCAGGAAAAAAATTAAGCACATTGCTATTCAAGACAACACTTTTGTATATGCTTAAGTGCTGTCCTCAATAGGGTGGATTTCCTGAATCAAGGCCAAAGAGCCTGCAGCATTATCACCTTGTGCTATGATCCCAAGAGATCTCAAACCCATTTGGCCAAGCCAGACCAGTACTTGGATACAAGATCTCCAAGAATCACGTACTTTAGTGTCTTAGGCTAGGTCTACACTGGGGGGGGAAATTGATTTAAGATACGCAAATTCAGCTACGCGAATAGTGTAGCTGAATTCAACGTATCCTATTCGACTTACCCCGCTGTGAGGATGGCGGCAAATTGACCGCCGCAGCTCCCCTGTCAACGGCGCTTACTCCTTCTGACGAGGTGGGAGTATGCGCGTCGATTTGGGGATCGATTTATCCGTCTAGATGAGACGCGATAAATCAATCCCCGAGAGATCGATTTCTACCCACCGATCTGGGCGGGTAGTGTAGACTAGCCCATAGGAAGTACTGCTGGTATTTCACAAGGCAGCACTCTTTTTTCTGAGTCAGTACTGAAACTATGACCCAGTGTATTTTGTCAGGGCTTCTTGAAGTGCTATCTTGTGGATGAGATGTACAAGAAAGGCCTTGAACTTCGGTGGTCACTAAAGATCCCCTGGGAGTGTTGGTAAGAATGAGGTGTTAACACCCATCTCCTGACCAAATCTGAACTCTGCTAATAACAGTCTGTCTACTAAACCCTTCTTCTAGTTTCAGTGTCAACTGGTACAGGATCCTTCCTAACAATCTGTCTAAAAGTAGTGTTGCTATATGCAGTTAAAAAGGTGTCAAACTACCCAGAGGTGGATGCATTTCAGTGATGGGGATGCAATCCCTGTGTAATTCCTTACTTTTCCTAACACAGATGTTGTAGTACTTTGAGATTGTTGGGTGAAAGCTAATATAGAAGTGCAAATAATTGAAATGCGGGTAAATAACAGACTCCCTGACATTCCCTAGGCAGAAGGCTCCATATAAAGAGAATTTAGGTAATGCTACAGTTGCTGTATCTCAATAATTAAAAATATTTGCAAGTACCATGAAATCAATATAAACAGGTTTTTACCTCCACTGACAGAGATGTTAAACGTTTCTTTTCCAGAAGTCAGATCTTCAGTCTCCTCTTTTGTTCTCTAATAGAGAGGAAAAGTGCAGTTTTTCAGTCTATGCAAAGATTCGGCTAAATAAATCCATGTTTGAAGACATACACCGTATATGGGAGGGCATGGTATGCTTTCTTACAGCCGTTCCCCAAGGGACCACTAACTTAGAATGAAAGAGCATTGTTATGCTCAGTCTTTCTACTCAATGTCATTAACTTCCCCCCAGCACCTGTACAAAGCAAATCTCTGAGCACTGTGGAAAAGCCGGGAACGTACCCAGTGATCTACCTAGCTATGCAAATGTACAAACATAAAAACACACTGCTGACAGATCACTGGTGAGCATTATTAAAACTAGATGCAATTAGGGGAAAACACTCCAAAAACGTCAGGGTTCACACTTTACTGGGAAGAGGTTCATTTAAGTACCTGGGAGAGTATTTAGACATGCGAGCAATTACTTGGACAACAAGGTACAGCCTTGGGATTTCCATGCATGAATGCACAGAATAGTAATAATAAAAAAACCCTCCAGAAACTTTAGCTAATTAATCCTCACAGCCCACTGTGAGGAGTGCACATGATAACATCCTCATTTTACAGAGAAGGAAACCAAAAAGTTACATCACCTGCTCAAGGTGTCAGGGTGAGTCAATGTCCAAGCATCTAATTGCTCCAGCATGATGTATCAGGTTGGTATGTACTGCTTTTTAAATAATCATATATTTTTCCCCACAAAAAGGCTGATCTGTATGTTAATGCTACCTACCTAACACTTAACTTTACTGCACGGAGATCTGGTGCTTGATCCTGCAAGGTCCTGGGCACCCTGGCTCAATCCAGCAAAGCATTTAAGCACTTGCTTAGCTTTGGACATTGAAATGAGACCACTCACATGCTGAAAATTAAGCAGATGCTTAAAAATGCTTTAGTGGATAAGGACCAGAGCATTCAGCAGCCTCTACAATAGAACCATTTATGATCTTTCAGTGAAAAAACAAACAAACAATGATCTCAAATCCGATGTGAAAATCTGTGCACCACATGTTAATTTTGGTATTTAAAATAAAATTCATGCAGAAATGCGTACTACCCAGTGGAAGTCTCCTTCAAACATGAGTTCTCAACCTTTTCATAGTGTGAACCAAACCTGAACAGAGAAACTGTTGATTGACCACGTCCCCTCTCATTTGCCATTGTGCAAATATGCGCAGGTACAATACACACACACACACACACACACAACATTAGAAAGACACACTAGAAAGGAAATGAGCTGTTAAGGCAGCGGGTAAGCGCGTGATAACCCAACATAGTTAATACAGAAGCCAACACTTACCTCTCCCAAGAACGGCTCTTCAGTAGCTTGGCTATCTTCATCATCACTTTGTACTGATTGGTCCGATTCTTTAAGAGCCTTTTGCAGAGAACGGAAGATGGCATTTGGAAAAAGGTAGCAGGGGAGAGAGAGAGAGAAAGACACTCAGCACTGAAGAACACAGATTAAAAGGAACACGAGCCAACAATATACAGAGCGAGTCTGCCAAGAGCAGAACTCCATTTGCAGAAATATAAATGTCTTCACTTCCTCGGTTTTCCACACTAAGAGCCACACTTAGACCACATCTACACTACAACAGCACAGCTACAGCGCTGCAGGTTCGCCATTGTAGCCACTGCACCGTAGATGCTTCCTACGTCGACAGAAAGGGTTTTTCCACCGATGTAGCCAATCCACCTCTCTGAGAGATGGTAGCTATGTTGATGGAAGAATTCTGTCGACCTAACTATTCTGCACAGGGCACAGAGTTTTTCACAGCCCTGAGAAATGTAGCTAGGTCAAAATAATTTTTAGGTGTAGACCAGGCCATAGTTTTCCAATTAGCATCTGAACACATGTAGCCACGTTTTTTTTAAATTTGACACTTATTGATGGTAGCCAAAAGAGCATGTGCACTATCATGATATGAAGAGTGTTTGTAACAGACTCTGACAAAGGAGAGAGTGTGAAGCAGAGAATGTAGGGCGAGGGCATATTTCATTACCACTTTAGACCACTAAGAAAAAAAAGATGCGTATTCAATGCAAGCCGTTCTTACTAGAAAGCTTACAAGTGGAAATCTCAGATTCAGTCCCACATGCTGAAAATTAAACCATTAGACCAAACCCTTCTCTGGTATGCTAGGGGGGAAGTGTGGCCAGGTGCCGCAGGGGAAACCCTACCACCCCAACCCCAATCAGGGGAAATGGGTTCGGGCTGGGTCACTAGCTAGGACTGTCCTGGAAAATGGCCACACCTGCCCGCCTCATTAACAGGGGCTAAAAGCTTGGGAAGAAGGGTGTGGGGGACAGAGAGGAGTATGCTCAGAAGGAGCCTGTTGCCACTGAGGCCTGTGCTAGGCCAAACCTGTCAATAATCTATTTACAGATAGTTGGAACTGGTTGGGGGGGACTGGACACAGGAATAAAGAGTGCGGGTGTTGCACCAGCTTGAAGTGGTCCTGACTTATTGGGGAGCAGGGCCAGGAGGCTGAACCCAGCGGGGCACGGTGAGCACCCCGTTACAAGAAGGGCCTAGCTTCCAGGCCTGCTGCTGCATCAGATTCACTCTGGGAAGAGTGGGCAGCCCCCTTAAATCAGTATCCTGCAAGGTACAGCACACACTAGGCAGGGCCACCAACTGCTCCTCATGACAGGAGCAAAGCACGCTGCCTGGCAGTGCATTCCCTGCCTTCTTCCACCCCTACAATCCTGGACCTGGACGGTCCCTAGATCATTGTTGTGGCGAGAGCTCCCTTTCCCAGCTCCCTCATTCCATATGATAAGGGCAGGATTCCCCGTACTGTCTGTCTCCAGAGTGATGAGCACTTAGACGCCACAGATTATATTTCTCTCTGCAACTCCCATTAGAGTGAATTACTATCTTGAATTAGGTTTAGCCAGAGTTCACAACACTTTGTTTTACCAGATGTTTAAGGGACGGTAGAAATTGCAATATAAGTAGAGATTGCCTACAACAAACGTGACTTGCTGAGAATGTGGGACTGCAGAGAGAAAGAGAGAAGAGTAACTGTTTATTTCTGGGCTAGCTACGAAGGTTGTTATTTACTCTGTGCTTTCCAGGGTGGGTCTTCCCCCAACACGTTGCAATTCTTTTTGTTAATGATCCGGAGGCTGCAGAGATTGCCTGACAACAGGAAGGATGACACCTTTCTACACCCACAGACAACATAAACATTGTAATGGACACTACAAAAGGATTAAAAAAGCAACCAATATGGAGGAGCAAAGAAACCCCATAAGACTCATGTCAAGATTAATTTCGCTCCCTGTAGACAGAGATCCTAAAACAAACACACCATTAACTGCTAACTGGGCGATAAGAAATAAACTAACTAATGATATTCACACAGTTCTAGTGCCAGAGATTTCAGGGATTTTTTTAAATATGAACTTTCAGATTTTATGTGAAAATTGTAAATTTACAACATGCTCATAATCTGAGTCATTCATATGTTCTGGTATAACTATTGAGTTAAAAGAGAAATTATTCTTACCTGGTACATTTTTTTTATATTAATATGGCAAAAAAAGATCTTTGTTGTTTTTGTTTGCTTACCTCCTCTGGTTTGCCATCTACAAGACTCTCTTTATTCAGAGCTGAAGTAATCTACAAAATAAATAAGATTTATTAGTTAAGTGGTTTTCTCTCTTACTTTAGGGTATGTAGCAAGTGTTAACATTTCGCAGGTCACCATACGTTGGAGATGAAGATAAGCCCTGATTGCATGAGAGCTGAAACCATTCTAGAACATTTCCCTGATCATTGTGCAGAGGAATTTACGTTGAGACCCACACTAACCAAACCGTGATGGAACTGACTGCTTCTAAAGGTTAAAATCTTCTTGGATTTTAGCTTTCTGGGGGGCAGAGACTGTGTCTTCCATTGTGTTGCACAATGGGGCCCCAATCCTGATTGGGACTTCTGAGTTCTACTGTAGTAATAAAATAATAAAAATAATGTTATAACACAGCTCTCAGGGGGGAAAAATCCCTATCTATAGTGATTAGGGAAACTGGATTTTGTTAGGATTATTTCAACCACCGCACGATAATGTGTCAGGGTAGGATTTTCAAACAGGCGGAAGAGTGCAGACACCTACCTCTCATTGACTTTCAATGTGAAGTGGGTGTCTAACTCCTTTAGATCCCTGTGAAAATCCCAACCTAATGTATAGATAAAGAGTTAAAATACAGACTGGAAAAGCATTAGTCCAGCAGCTGGACAGAATGGCTTTTCTAATACCACTAATCTCATCTGATTACTTCTAGTTCTACACCTTGAATAGTATCCCTAGCGGCTGTTCTAGTCTGTATATTTAGCCTAATGCACAGGTTTTTTCCTAGACTCTCATTTTTATTTACATTACTGTAAATACAGCAATGAAAAGTGATATTCCAGAAGTTCCCTTGGTTTGGCCAGAGTGCCAGACCAAAAAATAATAAAATAAAGCCACATGCTACTAGAAGCTCATACTGGCAAACTGACACCAATTCCTCTTTTTATATTAGTGATAAAGTAAGGAACCTAAAAATGTTAAAGAATCAATTGTTTTTTGTTGTCAAGATGTCATTAACACTAAGACTAGTCAGTCACTCTGTATTGTTTCAACTCAATAGATAACATGGATTCAGTTTAAAGTGCAATTCTTTGCTGAAAACTGGCTATTTTTCAGACACACTTTTAAGTTTGGAGGTGCTACAGATTACAAAAATGAGTAAAGTGTTTGCACCAACTTAGTCAAAATTAAAGGAAGACAAACTGGAGATTTCATAGAGGCAACACTGTTCTACTGAAAAAGGTGAAGAATGCAGCATTGAGAAATAAAGGTGATGGCTTGAAAAGCAAGCTCAGAAAAGCACGTCAAATAGGGTGACCAGGTATCCGGTTCTCAACCGGAACACCCAGTCGAAAAGTGATCCCGATGGTTCCGATCAGGACCGCTGCTTGAGCTGTTGACTGTCTGGTTGGTGGCACCGGGACTGGCAGACTCCCTGCTAGCCTCCGCGCCGTGTGGTTCCCAGGAAGCAGCTGGCATGTCCCCCCTCCGGTTCCTACACGTAGGGGCAGCCGGGGGCTCCACACGCTAATCCCGCACCCAAACCCCTTGCCCCAGCCCAGGGCACCCTTCCACAACCCCCTGTCCCAGCCCAGAGCCCTGTCCTGCACCATGAACCCCTCATCCCTGGCCCCATCCCAGAGCCCACACCCCCAGCCAGAGCCCATACCCCCTCCCACACCCCAACCCACTGCCTCAGCCCGGAGCCCCCTCCCATACTCCGAACCCCTCAGCTCCACCCCCAGCCCAGAGCCACCTCCTGCACCACAAACCCCTCATCCCTGGTCCCACCCCAAAGCACGCACCCCCAGCCAGAGCCCTCACCCCCCTCCCATACCCCAGCCCCCTAAGCCAGCCCGGTCAAAATGAGCAAGTGAGTGAGGGTGGGGAGAGCGAGCGACATGGAGGGGAGGATGGAGTTTGCAGGGGGCAGGGCCTCAGAGAAGGGGCTGGGCAAGGGTGTTCGGTTGGTGCGAGTAGAAAGTTGGCAATCCTAACGTCAGATTTCAAGGATTTGTGTATGCAGAGACACAGAAGATACTATGAAGATGCAGCGCAAGGGGCTGGGAAAGGGTGTTCAGTTGGTGCGAGTAGAAAGTTGGCAATCCGAACGTCAGATTTCAAGGATTTGTGTACGCAGAGACACAGAAGATACTATGAAGATGCAGAGCATGGACATAGAAAACTCATTTTCTATTTCAAAGCACATCAATTCACCTAAAAGGTCAATCAGGTCCCATACCACCATACTTACATACTCTACATATACCACTAAATTCCTTACCATTAACACTTACAGACATTTTTGAACTAGCACCTAATCAAAGTATGGGTTTGAGGGTCTGAAGTGTCTTGCTGTCTTCGTGATAACAGGCACCAGAGACCAATTTTAAACACAAGAATGAAAAACTGTGGGTCTGAAGACTTATCCCTGTATCCTACTTAGGCAACAGTTGTTTCTGGAGACCAGATTTAACTCTGTCACTCCAAGATAAGGATGTTTTTCTGGGTTAGAAAGAGGTAAACTGTACCCAAACAGTGTAAATTGCTATTTCAAGAGGTGGAGAAAACATCTATCTTTCTGAATGTAAATGGATTTGATTGTTTTGGGGTTCTTCTTGGGAGGGAAGGGTTTCCTGTTTCCTAAAAATTATTACCACCCAAATGAAAAAAGAATATTACTCTCTTAGTATTTTATCCTAATTCGACACTGAAAAGAGGGTTTAATTTTTTTAATTATGTACTATACATGTGTAATTGCACTGAATTGCATCTCCACATACATGAGTAATTTCTATTAACAGGAAAAAAATGAGGTTCAGATTTTCAAAGCAGTCTAGAGGATTAGACACACATTTATTAAAATTAATAGATGTATCTAAATCCTCTTGACCGCTTTGAAATTTTCAACCTGAGTGTCTACAACAAGAGGAGAACATATACCTTAAAAAAATATTGCTACTGCCATAAAAAGCTCTAGACAGAAATTTCTCCAGGGTCTCATAAGGTATTTTGTGTTGTGTATCTAGATAAAAATTTCAGAGCAGATACGGTGTTTTTCTGGATCTTCTTGAACAATGAGCACACTGCTGGTGCTTAAATAATAAGTCTTCAAGTTAGTGGTATTTAAATAACCTGAGGGTACTGTTTATAGCAGTGGTCACCAACCAGTCGATCGATCACGATCTCTGGCGGTGCAGTGTGGCTGCCACTAAGGCAGACTCGCTGCCTACCCCAGCCCCACGCCACTCCCGGAAGCGGTCAGCATGGCCACAGGGGCGGGAGGGGAGGGGGCCCAGGGGTCTCTCTCCGCTCACTGCTCCTGCCTGCAAGCACTGCTCCTGCAGCTCCCATTGGCCAGAAGAGCTGCGGGGGCAGTGCTTGCAGAGAGGGGCAGTGTGCGGAGCCACGTGCTGCCCCCCCCCCGCACAGGGACGTGTTGGCCCCTTCCAGGAGCGGTGTGGGGCCAGGGTAGGCAGGGAGCCTGCCTTAGCCTCGCTGCACTGGCCGCCGACCGGGAGCTGCCAGAGGTAAGTGCTGCCTGGCAGGAGGCCACACCCCAACTCTCAGCCCACTCCTGAAGCCAGTGCCCCATACCCCCTCCTGCACCCCAAACCTCCTCCTGAACCCCAACCCCTTGCCCCACCCCTGACCCGCTTCCCAGAGCCAGCACCCTGTACTCCCTCCTGCCCCAGCCCGGAGCCCCCTCCTGCAGCCAAACTCCCTCCTAGAGCTTGCACCCCAACCCCCTGCCCCAGGCTCAGCCCAGAGCCCCCTCCCACACTGCAAACCCCTCGGCCCCAGCACAGACCCCGCACCCCCTCCCGAACCCCAACCCCCTACCCCAGCCCGGTGAAAGTGAGTGAGTGATCGGGGGGGGCGGGGCCTCAGGGAAGGGCGGGGTAGATCCTGGATTGCCCTTAGATTAAAAAAAAAGTGATCTTGGGTGTAAAAAGATTGGAGACCACTAGTTTATAGGATAGTCATTGTAATATAGTAGTTATCACAGGGTCATAACTGCAACCTGGGATAATACAGCTTTAACTGAGTTATCAGGAAGCACCCTCAAGATACTACTACACAGAAAAATGTTATATCCTCTCACGTGCTCTGTTTTGTTACTGCTATTCCAACTCTCCATCCATATGCCAAATAATATAAGCACCTCAACTTCTGACCCTGTCTCTAATATTTTATATTTCAACATATTCCTCAGTATAAATACTTAATACATACACAACTTTCAAGCAGATTTACCTTTTGCCCTAGGTCATCCTTCCTGTACCCCAAAAGTTCAAGGTATTTGCCACGAGAATCTTCTTCAAAATTCACCTTAAAAAAAAACAAAAAACTAATAGTCAAAAGAAGCATGTTTTGAATCCTAATTTCATTTTCCCCATTGTAATTTCAACTGACCATGTATTGGAAATCAATGATTAAGCAAAATGTGTTAAAAAGGGAGAACTTAATTGTGGACTCTGAGGGTACGTCTATACCCAGCCGCTAGTTCGGCGGCTGGCAATTGAACTTCTGGGTTCGACCTATCGCGTCTTTTCTTGGCCCGGTA